TGGTGGTGGTGGTGTCATGGTGTGGGGAATCTTTTCTTGGCACTCTTTGGGCCCCTTGGTACCAATTGAGCATCGTTGCAACGCCACAGCCTACTTGAGTATTGTTGCTGACCATGTCCATCCCTTTATGACCACAAAACYGTTACTAGCGTGGTGTACCTAATAAAGTGGCCGGTGAGTGTATATGAACGTGATGTTTTTTTTAAATAATAGTTTTGCTGCCTTGTTTTCATTTTTCTCATTTTAAGAAACACTCAGAGGAGGATTAACAAGGACTAATCCGTTGAGGCACCAATAAAGTCATTAGTTGTGTGTAATGAAGTGTGGTGCAACATGGTCAAGCAAAAACCACCCTTTGATTACATCCACTGGCTTTTAGTGTGTCCAAGAAGAAAACAACCTATGTTTGTGTGTTTTTGTGCAGGAGCGGTCAGCAGTTGAGTCTAATTGAAATGGAGAGGGTTCTGCTGCCCATTAAAAGATTGATCCTGCAGCCCCGCTCCGTAACGCAGACCGTGCTGCATCGGCCTGAACCGAGCCCGGTCCACTTTACTCTCCCTCCACTATTCATGCTGACAGGCGGGAGTGGTGCTCAGGAGTGATTGCTGGGTCGGAGATTAGGCTGAAGGGTCCTCTCATCAGTATTCCTCACCTCGCGTCCTTCCCAGAGCGTACGTCTGGAATTCCAGTCACACGAAATGTTGTCAAACTCGCATTACCGTTTCTCATCCAACCTTTTAGTTAAAACCATATAAAATCTCTGCTGCAGGCTCTCATGAGCTGCAGCAGATTCTAAAAAGTAACAGTGGAAATGCTGAAAATTTGCTCAGTTTCTGCAGGAAAATAAAACAAACTGCTTCTCAACTCATCCATGTAAACCCAAAGCAAGCGGCGCTGTCACATTTCTCTGCTGGGGGAACACTGAAGCAGAACTTGATGTGTAACTGTGAGACGGGGGGCTAAATTTGGACTCACTCGTAAGACAACTTTTWCTTTTTTTGTCCTTAATCAGTTGAATCACATTTGAGTTTACACACATGAATTATTTGTGCTGTTCTTCATCCTGTGGTGGAATATTTACAATTAAAGGATTATAAAGATGAAATCACTGCATCGTGTGGGTCATACGAACGAGGTAATACAAACATTACTGCAGAGAATGAACTTATTCATGTATGTTTACTGATGAGAACGCCTCGTTTTTTACCCTCGGCGTTGACGTTCAGCCACTTTGTGAGGAAAACGAGGGGCAGCAGTTGTCAGATTATTTTCAGGTTTTCCACAAAACGTTCAGCTGCACCCAAAGCTGACCGTGTTTTCATACGAGTGCCGTCATCATAAAACGTGTTCTCAGATTAATGAGCGCTGCTTTTTGCTGTTCATGTCCTGAAGACCCAGTCATTCTGGACAGTGACTCATTACCCGTCCTTCAGGAACAGATCCCTCCTCATTAGCCTCGTTTTCCTCGTGTTTTCAGCTAAATGGAACTGCGCATTTTGACGGGGTTTGAACTAACTGGGTAACAGAAACCAGGTTATTTGTTGCCTGAACATTGGATGCCACTTTCAGAACTGTCCCGTGGCATCAGGTGACAGTTTGCATACTRCTCCTTCTGTCCCACATGTACAGCTGATCCTCAGAGCTGCAGCAGAGGTGCWGCACTGCCATCTGGTGGCTGAACAACTAATGACACCAGGGCAAAACAGCTGCTGCCCATGTTACAGAGGCAGAGCTGGGTTTTTTGGGATAGCCAAGGTGTCTTCGAGGGCACAAACAAATAAAGAAAAGCACTCTAAGTTTGAAAAATCCAAGATGGCTGCCACAGCTAACTTCAAAATCCTATAATTAAGCCATTTTATGACTTACTGAGATGAAATTTGTTGAGTAGCTAATCAGGATCACATACCAGTTCTCAATTCAAATTCCAAATTAAGCTAACCGCTAATGCTAATTTTGCCAGGGGCTAAAATTCAGCAATTTTTTTAAACATTCACAACTAAAACATGCATACC